GCTCTGCTTGAGAATTTCTGGGATCTCCGGTTATCTCTTGTGGACACACCTGAAGGATCACAGGGCCCCAGGCATTTCAGCAGTTCCATAGACAATCACACCAATCTCATACCCTCACCTCTTGCTTTGTGCACAAAACATGGCAAAATAACATTCAGCTCTGGTTTGTCCCATTCTGCTGGCCCTTCCTTACAGCGTTTACGAACTAGCACCACCAGGAGCTATTATGAGATGTGTAATTACTCATGACCTTTTGAAATCCTCCCCCACCTCTTAATTGTAACTTCTTAATATACTGTCTTTGGGTAGATAAATGAAAAGGGACTGGTCCAATTTATGCGTCTCTTTCTTGTGTGCTGCTCCCGACCTGCCAAAAAATTTGGTCCCCCGCCCCACACAAAGCAATTGAATAGAAAGGGCAGGTGCTGCAATACTGCTACCTCCTGTTACACATGCCTGTTTAAACCCAGGCATCATTTTCTTCCTCTCTCCCTATGTACTCATGTGTTTCCATCACCACCACTTTACATTTGGTGTCATTTTAAGAGATGGACACATTGACTCTGGGTCTCCAGAGCATCCTGGTTCCTAGCATGTCCTGATCCAATGGCACTTTACTGCTTATCAGAAATAAGGTAATGATGTGCAATATAAAGTATTCCAATAAAAACAGGACTCTCCTAAGATCTGTTACTGTTTTGATGTTGAAAATCAGCAGACAGAATGCACAATGAAATGGAATGTTTGATTTTCTGCCCGAGGTCCCAACAAGTTTAGAGGGCACCGGATTTCCTTCTCCGATTGTCCGATGTGATGTGAAGCTCGAGGGTATGCCATCACAGGGGACACGGCCTGGCAGAGAGCCCCGCTTCCCTGCGTTGCCTTTTGTCCAATCAGATATGGAGGTTGCCCGTGACGTCAAGAAGTGCAGCGACTGTAAATGGGCCGGCGCTCCCTCGGCAGCCGCCATCGTCCTTCCTTCCGAGCTGTCGGGAAGGTGAGCCCCACATGGCTGAGCCTGGCTGTGAGACCTCTTCCGGGGAATGCCCGGGCACGGAGGAACCCACAGCAGCGGACCTGAAGAGCCCGAAGCACGAGCAGCCAAGGCGCCAATGCCGCCGCCCCCGCCGCCGCCGCCGCCCCAACAGTTTCGCCGCCTACTTCCCCAGGGTTCTGAAGCAGGTTCACGAGGGCCTGAGCCTCTCGCAGAAGACCGTGAGCATCTT